AGTATTTGAAATCTTTCCTTGTTAAATCTTGTCATAAAACCTCGTAGGGTTTCATTTGGCCCCTGGCGTAGTTGCATGAGGGAGGCTGCGATTTTCCTGATTCGCTTGCTACTTGCAAAGAAGGCTGAGAACTTATCAGCCAAATCTGAGAATGAGGCTATGGAGTTGGGCTCCAATGTCGAGAACCAATCCCTAGCATCATTAGTCAGTGTTTGTGGAAAGGCTTTGCACATAACCTGATCCGGCGCAATTTGCAAGTTCATGACGTCAGTATATACATTGAGGTGGTTGATGGGATCGGACGTCCCATCATACTCCTTAATACAGGGATATTTGAATTTGTCGAGCAAGGGATATGACAATATCTCTGGCGTAAATGGAGTGTTAGGGGTGACACTTGTTGGCCCCCGAGCACTCCGTTATAGACCAGCTGTAATTCCTTCTTGAATGATTAAGGTAATTTCACTGGAATCCATGGTCACCGACTTCGAGCCTGAGGCCATATTGTGAATACCCGATGTTCCTACTCCACCATTTGGGGGGTCTGGTGGTCGTGCTCGAGCATCGGCCATAAAACCGCCATGCTCCGCCTACGCTGACGATGGATGTGAATTTCTTTGACTTAACAGTTGCGTGAACGTAGCCACCTGCTGACGGAGCTCTTCAAAGGCTTCGGTTGTGATGACCGCTGGCAGAGATACTCCTGAGGATTCTTCATGAGGAGCCGGTTGATCTTCGACAGGATGAGGGATGGGAGCGAATGAGCTTGCGGGAGGAAGACCTGATCGTGTGTTAACCATGGCTTTTGGTAGCGTTTCCCACAGACGGCGCCAATGATGTTACCAAAAATCGTACCTGTATATTTCCCGAGCTCGATGATTCGGATTGAGCACGATCGTAGTCTTCGGGTACCTGAAACAAAGACAACGAGGTATGTTATCGTCACCCCTCCGATGCTTAAGTCAGAAAGGGAATTATAATGTGAGGCTATAAACTGGAAAATAATGAGAAACGTACCTGAATAATGGCCCAAGGTTCTATTTTTATAGCGGTAGGTAGCGCAATCCTAATAGGATTGGGCCGGTTGGATGTTTTTATCCAAGGGAATCCTATTTATAAGGAATGTCCTACTCGTAATGGGATTGTCTGACAAGTGGTATAAGAGATGATATAGAGTTCTTGGGTGTTTAGGTGTTTGTTTGTTAGGCACGTAGGTCTAGAAGGTCTGTTAGTATGTCCCGAGGATTATTCTCGAGGACTATGGGGTGATGTTAATATTCGTATGAGTTTCCTCGAGGACCAAAATACCTCGAGGTCTCGGAAGATCCCGAGGACATATGGCAAAAAGGTGAGTTGGAGCACATATGGAGTCCTCGGGGTATACCAATATTGGCATCATCACATACAATACAAAGTAACACTGTAGATTTACTCAAAATGATTACACATTACAATTTTTATATTGTCTTTAACTAGAGATTTAACACATTTAGGGAGTACTATTCCTGACAATGCTCATATCAATTCTTTCCTCAAGAACCCAACCATTGTCTACTTGTTTCCCTTCAACCTTTTTATGCTTGTACCAGGTAGCACATACCAGGTAGACACCAAAATTCACCATGCTTAAGCAGGCTAGTAACCAGTAGAAATAATTCAACTTATCCCTGTTCAAATTGTTGCTAGCTAGCCACCCGCCACTCACCTTGTTCACTACGTTCACAACCACCGAGCTCGTGAAGTACCCGAATGCCAGCGAACACCATGAGATGGCGGTGCTAAGTGACTTCATCCCGGACGAGCTCTCAGCGTAGAAGAATTCCAACAACCCCACCAGTGTGAACATATCAGCCATTCCAAATATAGCATATTGGATGCCAAGCCAGAATATGCTTATTGGTAAAGGTTCTACTGAATCAACCAAGTTATGATTAATAGCTACGTTTTTCCTGTGTGTTTCAATTATTCCAGCTATTGCCATAGAAATAGCCGCAAGAACCAGTCCCACTCCAACCCTTTGGAGTTGAGTGATTCCGGTAGGGATTCCGGTGAACCTTGATGCTAATGGAACAAAAATCCGGTCGTAAAGTGGGATTAGGATGAACATGAACACAAGGGGGATTACTGGAATCGAGGGTCCAGGCATTTCAAAGCCTCCTATGTTTCTGTTCATTGTATTGCTCTGCTGGATGGAAAATGTTTGGAGTTGAGCCAAACAGGTGTTCATGAAAACCGTACTCAGTATAATTGGGAGCATTCGGACTAGAATTTTTGTTTCTTCAACTTGTGTGACTGTACAGAGCTTCCAAGATCCAGTGACACTTGATTCAGATGCTTCTTGTGCATTTTTAACTATTGCTGCATGATCCAAAAACCTGTAAAGATATGCTTCATATCTATAGTTATGAATCGATGATTAATTCGTGCATATACCAAATGAAACTTTGAACATACTTGAATTGATTAGTTCTTTGAAGAATCTCAGTTTGTCCAGCTTCTTTATCATGAATTTCGTGTAACTCTCCTGCAGTATCTGGAATGGCAAGTTTCCGGTTTCTAATGGCTGCAACAAATACCTATTTAAGCAGCTGAATCAGTAAATAATTTCGATTTCTGACGATTTTACTTTGAAAAGGAGACTGGTGTTTATTGTAAGTGGTTCAACACGTACCTTTAGAACACGAACAAATGGGCTTCCCTTGGGGACGTTGTTTCGATAAACTGACCTCCCCATGCTTAGAAACAGAAGTGACACTCCCACAGCTATTGAACAAATACCGAATGACCAATCCCAACCTTGGTTGGTACTTATCCAGACTAAAAATGTCACGCCAAATATAGCTCCTATTGTAACAGCAAACAAGTACCAGTTGAAGAAGCTTGAAAGAGAAGCCGCCTCCTTTGGATCCCTCTCATCGAACTGATCAGCTCCTAGCGAGGGCAGAGCCGCTTTCACCCCTCCGCTTCCTAGCGCTACCAGATAAATTCCAGCAAATAATATTGCCTGCTGGCTGCTGTCTGCTGGCTCACATTGGCTCATTTTGCTAGGGTCTAAACCTTTGCAAGGAAAAGGTCTCAGTTGCTTGAAATGTGCTTGCACTGCTAGCACAGCATACCCCTGAAAATACAGTTTTTCGGAATCAGACCTGAAATTCTTCTACCGAGAAACGATACAAGAAAAAGAAGCTAGAATCTTGTGTCATGTCCACATGTGTCCAATATCGTATGCTAAACATTCATAAAATTATTCTTAATTTCGTTTGTTCATTCATATATTTTTATCATGTTGTGTATATAGTTCATATAGAGTGGAACACATATTTATTGGATCAAATCCACTCCAGCATCGGCCTCTCAGGTTTTAATTTACTATCTGATTGTCGTAGTACAGTACATAGGTATTTTATTATAAGGGTCCTAAAATCTTGTATGGACTTGGACTAGGATTAGTATAAATGCTGATTATGTAACCCTATCATTCATACTAAATAAAATATCTTCGACTCGCTCCTTGTGGACATAGATTCACCTCTAACCACGTTAAATACTTGTGTTGATTTCTCTCTTTCACTTCTCTATTATTGCGTATAAAATCTAACAGCTGTATTGTTTAAATCCACAAATTAAAGACCTGTGTTTTTAATCAGCCAAGTTTATGATCCAAAAGCAATCAAAGCTAATAATAATTAAATATGTGCAATCAAATTATTTTTCTGATAAATTGGTATCATGCGTAAATGGTCAACGGTGTTGCTGATGCACTATCCTGGTTTTGTAAACCAATGAGCTGTTATTTTTTCAACTAACCATTTAACTAATAATTAATCAATATAATATAAGTAATCTTATCTAAATGTTTCAGAAACATTATTTCTGAGGTAAGTATAAACTGCAAGTTAACTACATTAATTTACTTTACATGGGAAAAGTCAATTCAGAATCATGCATGAAATTTATGATTCCTTTGTTAAGACAAAAATTTGAAGCTTATAAAAATGAAATAACAGGAAATCCATGCACGAAATAAGAACATAATAAAAGTACATATATAATTACGTACCACCACTTCTAAGCATCCAAAAATAATGCCAGTCTTGAATCTTGATATGTATGTATCAGAAATAAATCCTCCAAATAATGATAATAGAAATGCAGACCCCATGAAATTTGTCAGTGCAGTAGCTGATTTTGCCAAGCTGAAGTTCATGTATCCATAAAAGTAAGTCACTAAGCTCACACCATTTGAAATAAATGCCATGGTCTCCAGTGCTGACATAGCTGCGCAATTGAAAATTCTCAAATGAATTATCCTCAAGAAAAAATAATAACAATAAAAAACCATGAACTAAGCCCTGTGTTGAATAATTTTTGAATTAGCTACATGAATAATTTTTTTTACTATGGTCAAGAAATTATTGATGTAAAAATTTTTTTCACTATGTTCAAGAAATTATTGATGTAGTCGACCCCAAAATCAAATGGGACTTGTTATGCAGCAGAATATTGATGTTATCGAGAAGTAAGTTACCAAATACGAATATAGTAGCTCTCCTTCCTCCCAGCTTTGGTTGCTGTACAGGCTGAGTTTCACCATTTCGGAAAATATTCTGAAAATAAACAACCAGACATGTTTCCAATAAGCAAGAATCATCAGAATTTCGCTACTAAAAGCGACAATTTACGTCTAAGATTTTTGAAAACTTAAAAGAGAAAATTCCATGAACTAAAACATTAATGCATCAAATCATTCTTGTTCAGAATTATTCAAGATGCCTGCTTTTCGATAATCTCACCATTTTTTCTGTAACCAGAAGGTATAACTTTAATTTATCTCAAATGTCAATGCAGGAAGTTTGAAAGTGCTAACAAATACTTATATAGAGACTTGGACTCCACACTTGGCTTTGAACATACAATATGACAATCAATGGAAGCAGGAATCTCAAGGCATCTATCTTATTGCGGAAACAATACGAGTCAATGATGTTCTTTTTGTTTCTTGTGATTCAAACTCTCTCTCTGTCTCCCTCTCGTACTATTATTTTTAAATAACCATGATTTGCAAGTTTTGACTTTATTATGTTAAAATTATTTGCATCAGTTGAGAGGGGCATGTATCTGGCAGGTAAGAGTATATTAGTGTCTGCTGTTTAATTGTGAGACGGTTCCAGATTCATTTAGATGCCAAAGTGATTCATATTTTTATTAATTTAGCTATCAGATACCTTCGTGGTTTAGGTAAATAAAATTTATTCTTGTAATATATAAAGAACCTGATTTTTTTCACCGCAAATTAAAAAATAATAATAATAAATAAATAAATAAATAAATAAATAATTAGGATGTTAGAAAAGGAAGGGGTGAATGAAAATTCGTCACTCTTTCCTTAAAAGACTTTTACTCCAAGTATTATATCGCTTCTTCACGATAAATAGCCGCATTTTCTTTCAAATATCATCAAGTTTATGTGAAGTCATTCTATAAAGCATTTTTACACTATAAAATATCGTTTGAGTCTATCTACTCTCACGAATAATTATATTTATTTTTTATTTTTATTTTTTGTGTAAGGTGCTTTTATACGAATGACAATTTGTTCTATTTTGAGACCTTAAGTATTAAAGATAGCAAATTGTTTAAAGAGAAAGTGAATTTGTTGGGCCAAATCACTGTTAACTTATACATCGCACATATTTGATTTAAATAAAAATTTGATTTTTAATATATTTTGATAAAAGTTGATGGAATGTATCGTTGAAAAGTTGTGGGTCCCATAAAATATGTTATTAAAATTAATTGTCGACTTTCACTTAAATTTTAATTGAACTTTTTTATCGGAAATAAATAGAGGCTTAATTCTGTTATTGATTTAAATTTGTAAACTGTTCGTTTGCTGATGATTTGCACGATCTTTGTGAAATTAAATATTGCATTAGACATTCTTATCATAACAAGAAGAAAAAAAGGAAGAAAATTGTAAAAATGCCTTTTTATTTTGTTTAAATACTTTCTTCTTTTCTCAAACTTTGCATGGATAATATGAGCAACCATATATTATGCATTTACAGGTGCCGTACAATTTTTTTCGTGTTTTTTTTAGGACCATACTGTGTGTACACAATGATGTACACACGGCTTTACACCCCACTCACATGAAGGGAAGCTCACACGTAATAAAATATTCGTGAGCCTCCTTCTATACGAGGGGATGTAAAGCCGTGTGTACACCACAAGACGTACACACGGCATTTTCCTTTTTTTATTGGCTTGTCACTACCATATAACGTGGCTTTGGTGAAACTTTTGCCGACATAATTTTTTAACAGAAATTCAGTAATTGTTCAGCGATGAAGAAAATATATATATCGACGTCAGAAAATATATAGATAATTTATGTTTATGACATTGCAGAGTTAGCATTGTAATTTATTTTTATTATTTATTCCAAATTATTTTGGTAGCTAGGAAGTAGCCACTAGAATTACTGCGAGAGTCATAAGCGTGCTCGTATATTGATGTAATGATGGTAATTGCTCTCATATGGAAAAAAATAAAATAAAATAAAAAAATTACAAATTGGTATCCCTCCCATTATAATCAAAATTAATGGGGGTCAAACGACGGCTTAGTATGTAATTTATAGGGAAGGCAAAAAAATCTATCAAACCTAATACTCGTGGGACCCTTTCTGAACAGGATGGAGATTGCCCCGCTTAATCGAGTATTTGGATTGGGGATGGGTCGTGGGACTTCGTCTCGAGGCCCATATGGGTAACAAGGGCTTGTCCAGTCTAGTCCCGTTCTATTTAATTTATTTATTTATTTATTGAAGAAGTCAATATTTTAAATGAAAAAGTTTTCACGAAATTTCATCCGTTCTAATAGAATATGACAACTAAAATTATCTAAAGAATATGACAAATAATAAAAGTCTTAATTTACCAAATATATTTGAATAAATTAAAAAATATATATTATCACACTTTAATGAATGTGAACAACAATGAATTATCAAAAACTAAAATAAATAAATAAACGATAGTAAATGGGGCAAGGCCTCACCCCGGCTCCACCTTAAACAAGTAATGGGGCATGTCTGGAATGGAAATTACCTTGCGGGATAGGGGCGGGAGAGGTTGCCCCGACCCTGACCCCGTCCCTCCCCGTTGCCATCCCTAATAACCCATTGCCATCCATAGTAATTTGACCTCTCTAGTACTAGAAGATTATATACACTATTCACTAAGAATGATTCCTTAAGAGTTTAAAATTCTTAAATAATATTAAGAAATTTTCTTTAGATATAGTAAAAAAAATAATTTGTTTCTTTCATGTGAGTCAGAACTTAACCAATCTAAGTGATTTTTTTAGAAACTTGCTCTTGATTCTACCATTTCTAAACGTATTTCTTTAAACAAAGACGTGTCAAACATCCTTGAATAAGAAATAAGTAAAAATAAAAAAAGAGTCTCTTAATGAACTTGGATTAAACTTGTAGGGTTTTTAGGAGAATGCCATCTTACATAAGAAGCCCTTTCCAACTGAAATTTAATTGATGTTTAGACCCAACAACATCTAGAGTTGATGAATAGGTATATAAAACAAACAATAATAAGCAACAAGTCACAAATTATTGTCTCTAGATGATTAAATTTAATACAACTAAATCCTAATTATCAATCATTCAATATATAACAAAGCATAAAAGTAAAATCAACACCAAATATAGTAATGAAGAAAACCCCATTGAAAAACTCTTCACATGGATAATAAACTTCCGGGCAAACCTTGCTAAAACGATTCACCGAAAAACAACAACTTATAGTTGGTCCAAACACAACTAAACTTTAGTAGATTCAGATCATCCACCCGGTAAATCACTAAAGAATATTTTCGATTGTGGCTCCAGCACTTTTTAGCAACTTTGAACTTTTTTTTTCTCCGCGTGGATTGCCAAGAACGAATCTCGTTCTTCTCCAACTGGAACTCCAACTACCTTTCTCGAACTCTAGAACTCTGAATGATTATTGGTAAATTATTTGAGTTTTGGTGTTTGATCTTTTGGAATTATGATGCTTTGATCTTTGGTTAAGCAAGGGAATAATGGAATCAATGTTTGATCTTCAATAGGATGCTCTTTTCAATGAAAATAGGCTTAACACCCTTTGGGACTGACCAATTCTTTAGTATTTATAATATGAACGTTTGGGGTGGAATATAACTGTAAAGAGGCTAAAAATCACGATCAGATTTCACCGAAGTATGACCATCGCTCGAGCAGTGGTCTCGCAGCTAGCGAGCGATGCCTTGATCGCTCGAGAGTCGAACACGCGGATAGCAAGCGGTCATTATTCTAAAACAATTGCTCGAGCGCTTTTCTATAGAACGTCGTGCATTTTTTCGTCGATCTGATCTTCTTGAGCTGACTTTGACTCCTTCAAAAGACACTCCTAACTCTGAACAACTTGACTCTAATTACAACTCAATTAAATGATATTTTAGACACGAAACTTGCCAATACAATTTAGACCTAACTCCGGCCACTCTCGGTGCTAGTCTTTATTAAATCCACCCCACTTCTCCTTCTTCCCTTCGTTGCTCATCATTGCTGGGGTTTTTAGTGGAAAACACTAGCGCATTGGCAGGCTTATGGGAGAGATTGTGACTTCAAGATGACATGGGGCCATCTATGCCGGTTGATAAAATTAATTAAAGATATATAGTGACATTTTTCGTGGAATATAGGTGCTCCAATAGTGTATTATTTTGCAATGTGTTAGCATGTAAGAAACATAAATATTTTTAAGCTCGATTCTAATATATAATCGTTAAGTTTCGCCAAATCAAGTTTTAACTTATTTCAACTCAAGTTTTAAAATAAGAAAATCAAACATAAGGTGTTATGCACAATGTCAATGCAATCGATCGAAATGATGTAACATGCTACCGACTAGTATGGAATGAGGGATTGGTCATGGAAGTTATAAATGGGACAGCAGTTTTTATTTAAAATAAAAAATAAAAAATAGTAAGCTGTTTGTTGAAGCGGACAGAACAAATTTATAATTATTTTCCATGAAAGTGGCGTTTTGGCACGTTGTACTTGTTGCTTTGCCGCTGTATCTTCTAAGTCAATATTTATAGCATTATTTATTATCAATATTTGTTTAGTCCAATTTGACAGGGCATAAATATATTATATTGGATAATAGATAAAATATTGACTTCTTTTTTTATTTATATGTATTGTTTGATAACATAAAAAGTTTACTTTTAAAATAAAATTTCATGATTTAAACAAAATTTAAATAAATAATTTTTATTGGCAAAATTTAGAAATGATTAATTACTTAATAATAGTTTGTTTGGTTTATTTAAAGAAAGAAAGAAAGAAAAAATTCATCCAAACATGTTTTAGGACAAAAAGTTACTTTAAAAACTTGGTTTTAATTTTTTTTTTCCCCCCTCTTAGGTTTAGTCAAACATGGATTTAAGATTGTTCTACACTGTATTTTCTATAATACCAAATATATAATTACAATTCTTTGACAGTTAAATATTTTTAGTGGCAAAAAAAGTTGTAATAAAGCACTCAACGACCAAAGAAGAAATTCAAGCGAGAACAAGACGTTTATAAACTTGTTCCATTCCCTCCAAAATACGACAAAAACATGTTGGAATTGGAATGTAATAAATTTGAGTCTAGCAAAATAATTAATATACAAGCTTGACGAAATGATGTTTTCAACCAACTTATAAATGATATTGAGTTTGATTTGATTTCATAGCTATTCATTCCAAATTTAATCATTTTGAACAAAAATCAAGTTTGATTAACCAGATATTTTTATATAATTTATAATCTTCTAGTTTATTGATCCAAGCAAAATTGTCTTAAAGATATAATGTGAATTCGTCGAGCTCAAATAATTGTCACTAGTTCCAATTTTATTTATTTATTGATATGTTGCATGACTATATATTGCACTAGAAATCCTGG